CTCTTCCGACACAGCCCAACAAATCCAACTGCTCAGCAAGAAACCTTTGCTCTAAGCAAGAGCATCGTCCCCGCACGGCGTTAGCAGAAAGGAGGAGGGGGAACGCTCAGTTCCCGAGGACTTCTTTTCCAGCCCACAGGAGCGTGAGGACTCACACATCACAAATTTGCCACGAAGCAGCAAGTCTGCAGATAAGCAAGGTTATGCTGGTACCAGTTTAAGCCTCCTCGTTTTTCTCCCAGGACCCCAGCAAAGGCCGGCCTTGATTTAGCAAGCTATTAACTTTGCTAAAACCCCAACAACTGCTAGGCGTGCTGCTGCTAAGTGACCTGCCCCCAAGTTCTGCGGAGCTGCTGACTCGGTGCCCGTGACTCTCACACCCCAGGAGAAGTGTGCGAGGCATCGCTAAACGTCACCATGGAGATTCAAGATTATTCCACCCACTTCTAGAGATCTCTAAACCGCAAACCAAACAACCGAAGCCTGTGGGTTTTGCAGCATGATATTCTCAGCCTGCAGTGAAGTATGGCTGCCTCCATCGCTCCTGCCAATTAGCTCGCTCACACACTCAGCCATCCTACCTAATCCTCTCTGCGGGAGTCCCATTTTCACGGTGTTATTTCCCCGCCAGCAACGGCAACCCGGAAATCCCATCGTTCGCGAGTAAACTTCAGGCTCTAGAGCACAGCAGCGCAAGCAGAGAGAGAAATTGTCCAAGGGGCCCCACTCTCAGCTCGTCTGCACACCTTTGGAGGCCACAGCTACGTCTCTCAGCTGCTGCAGTCCCCTGTGGTTTGTGAACACGTCGCTCCCATCCTTGGCTCAAGACCTGGGTTGCCAGCAGCAAAACGCTGAGAACAATCTCACCTTTAAGTGAAACAGTGGGCTCTTCCCTGTCTGGACTCCATGAGCTCCCCCCAGAAACGATCCCTGTGCCCTCGCACTTTTCAGCGGGCATCTCCCTGTGCTCAGCTCTCCAGTGTACTTCCTCATACAGCGAGGCGGCACTTACCTCTGGCATTTCTTCGTCTTCCTCTTCAGAGGACACCTCTTCCTGTGTGCTCTGCGGAGACAAAAGGAGAGACACGATGGTCGCACCATCAGCTTCCTGGAGCAACGCTCTCCGGCCTTCCCAGACACTTCTGAGGTAAGGTTAAACAGGGATTTACAAGCAGAACCAAGTTAAAAGCAGAGTGAAGCCAAGAACCTTTATAGGAAACTACACCAGAGCAACCAAACAGCACCGAGGGCCAACGGAGCAGGCTGGCATCACCCAGGACAGGAATCCACCTCAGGGAGAGGACATCAGCACCTCACCTGCTGCATTCCTCCTTCTGGGGTTAGGAAGCCTCCACCTCTAAAGCAAACTCCAGGGAACTCATTTTTTGAGCTTAGAAAGTCTCTACCCGAGTCACTCACCGGTTCTGCCGGCAGAGGCTGGTCCAACATTTCAACATCTGGATGCTGGGGGAGGTTGTAGAGTTTGCACAGGTCAGAGATTATTCGCTTCAGGTGCTGCAAAAGCTGTGCGGAGAGCAGACAAGCGTCAGAGAAGTGCAGAGACCCACACGCCAAGCTAAGCCTCAGCCATCCTCAGTGCTGCAACGAGCCAGCGAGGGCCCAGTGGCCACTCCTTCCTGCTCCAAGCAGTGGCAGACACTGGGGCGAAATCACACCCCAGCATCAAACTCAAGAGAAGTCAGAACTGCTCATCCCGAACTTCCTGAACCCTTACGAGGCCAGACGCGCTGCGTGGCTGGAGGCACGCAGCAGGGGTTTTACCTTCCTGAAGCAGCCAGCCTCTCGCCCCCCTCTCTCCCCAGGCAGCGCTCTCTTACCAGCGTATTTCCTTTCCTGACTTCCACCAGCCTCTCCAGGATAGCTGCCAGGTTCGGATCGTCCGACTCCACAGACCATATTGGGGGAACAGCTGGATAAGACTCCTGGGGAGAAGGAGAAGGTGGTGTTTGAGCTGCCGCAACTGCCTCTGTCCCACTGATGCAGGCGGCAGGGAACAGGCAGGACAGGGAGCTGCAGCCCCACATCTCCTGCAAATGGATCCCTCCAGAGTGCAGAGATCAGCAGAACGGCCTGTGAACCACTGCATCCAGGCTAATCCCAGGCCCGAAGGCAAACCAAACCCCTGCTCCAATCGCGCCAGTCTGGCTCAGCTCTGTGCCGCCTCCCCCAAGCCTGGGGGAGTGGGGTGGAACAGGGAGGATGGTGATGTTGTGGCCACCCCTTTGGTTGCGGGAAAGCAGTTAAGGCAGGACACCAAGGGCATTTCACGCTGCCTGTGGGGCCTCGCCAGCTCTGGACCAGAAGTGCTGGGGGAGAAGCATCAGGGTCAGAGACCAAGTAGGTGCCTTTGATCCAGGCCAAAGTCACTGACAGCCTCTGCCAATGCTCCCGAGTCCCCCCAACTGGAAAATCCCAGACAGCGTCTGCACCGGGGGCTTTCCGTGCTCCGCTGCTCCTCGCCTGGAGCCGCAACATCAGCTCTCCCTTGCCATGAGACACGGGATCTGCACCCCACGGCAAAGTGACCTGGAACCAGGGTCCCCTAAAAACCTGGGCAAGGATGAGCCAGAGCGGACGCGAAGAGCCCGATGCTGACGCCACAGGTATCTGTCCTCGAGGCACTGCTGGTCAGGGCCACCCGGGAACCCCCCGCCCCCGAAAAACCCACCCTGTGGGGGCGCAGAGCCTGGGACAGGGGAAGAAGGAGCACCCTGCGCCCCACAGCCCTGCCTGTGCCCACCGGTGGAGGGTGAAGCTCCCG